CTAATAGCTTCTTGTTACTACTAGTAAGGCACCTGTTACTACTAGCGATGCACCTGTTACTAATAGCTTCTTGTTCCGTTCGTTTTATGATTATAGTATGGCCGGGAGCGCCCCGTTCGTTGCGTCGCGTCCGATCGCTCCATTCGGTTCGCGGATGCCGTTCCAAGCGACTGCAGCCCGGAAGACTGCCGACCACCGCGCACGGCTGGGCAGCCGACCGCTGAGCACCGCACCGCGTGGGGCGAGCATGTTGCGCCCGGAAGACGGCGGTGGAACTGAGATGGCAGCAGTTGAGAGGTCCTACTCCAGTACACCTGGTTTCTTTTTATAGCGGCCTCCAACCTACTAGTGATGGCTTCCAGCCTAATAGGTCCTCTCATGGCATCATGTGTAGCGGGATTTTGGATTTCACGTCACGGGCCGAGTTGACAAGTATATACGCGAATCCTGAAGGGGGGACTGATTTTTACATGTTCCTACCACCATATTCATCAGCGTGAATGGTATTGACCGAAGAACCAGTGCTTTTACTAGGGATTTTGCAAAACAGAAGCAGGTCCAGCTTTCTGTTAATGGTCTTGCAAGACTAGGGTTTGCCTTCAACAAGTGTGCTTTGCAACTTCGCATGTGTGAGCTGTTGTTATGTTAATCCCATAGGGGGAAAACAACAAGATTCAACAACCACAAGCAACCCCCACTCCCACAACAACTAGCAACATATAGCTTGATTCAACTCTTCCAAAAGCATAGTCATCCACGTTCTGCTCCCGTTCCGCTCTTGTTTGGCTCGGCTCCCGCACGTCTGATCCACGAAGGGGATGCTCAAACCTCCGGACCTGGAGGTTTACGGGTCGCTTCGACAGTCGGTCGTTCGGTCCCAAGTTCCAACCAAATGTCTCAAGCAACTTTTTGGGTGATGCGTCTGTCTTTTTTTGGTGATGCCATCATCGTTATTTTTCCTGTCCGATGTTTTGTAATGTCTAAAAGGTTGTTTTTTTTACACATTTGTTGTTGGCGGTTGTTGAATCGTCCACTTTTGGTGAAGACCCTTTGTATTTATTATTGGGAATTGAAACGGTCCACGGCTTCCAATTGGGTTCATGAGTAGGTTCGGCTCGAAACTTGCCAACAATTTTTACTTGTGCGGGTGAGTTTCCTAAATGACGAAAAACATATCGAGCCCAAATCAATGTCTTCATAGATGTTTGTGCACTTTGAACATTTGCAGGAGGCTCCAATCAAAGTACGGGCACAAATGTCTCAATTATTCAGCAAGTCACCTCCTCCGTGCAAGGGGCCCAATGTGATGGAAAACGCATGAAGTTCCGCATGTCCGCCACCTTCTGCGCTTCCTCCGACCACAAGTTGCCAGGCCAATGACATGAGGTTCCCTGTACCAAAGCTGACATGATTGATTTCACTGAAGGAAAGGTAGCTTGGGAAAGGAGACATGAGTTCGCACGATTTCCGCATTTAGCATTCTATTTTTTTCACCCAGTCACTCTCACTTCGCGCGTTCGAGGTCCGGTGGGTCTCGCACCGATGTTGGTCTCGCACCTTCTCTTTCTCCACCCTGGGCACGGCATGGCACGGACAAGCTCCGAACGACACACGGGTTGGACACCCAATCCTGGGTGCTTACGTTGCTCTTACGGGAAGTAGATCACTAGACCCTGAAAGAAAGGTGTGATTGATACTTACTGTATCTACGATCTTACATTGTACGCCTGATTGAAGCCCCCTTCTTTCACTCATGACTCATGTCCAGAATGCTCTTCTGGGGGTGTTGAGGAATTTATCAGTGCCTCGCTTACGCATTCAAACTCTTCTTTAAGAAAGATGCATCAAGAAAACGCGCCCGAGAAACCTGCACCAACTCCCAAAGAAGCCAAACCAAACACCTGGGATCCTTTCACCAAATCCTACGCCGCTGGCTGGTCTGGCTCATGTGAGGTTTTCGTACCTCCTCGGTCTTTGGACCCATCGACGGCTCCGACGGCTAACGTCGATTGCACCGAGGGTCGCCCTCGCCGGTCCCAACATCCAATCACCAGCCATCCGAACTTTGCTGTTCGTCGGACGTCCCCGAAGGGTTTGACCAAACGAAGGGTCGGACATCGTTTGGTGTTGGGTCTATCAATCCCATTACCAGATTTCAGTGGATGATGATGGTTAGGTTGCAGGCCTGTCTCTGGAAAGAGTGATGTTCTTGTTTAGCGACTGTTGCAGGTAATAGGACAAGACCTCAACAAATCGTCATGTGGGAGTTTTATATAGCACCTCTTCGTGCAAACCTCTTCCCCAGCCAGTTCCAGGCTGCCAGGCTTGGCTTCTCGAGCTGAATCAGGCCTTCTCGCGCACAGCAAAAAGTCCGCCAAAAAATCCGGCAAGATCAACAAGTCCCAATGAAACACATCTGACAACGTCCAACTGGAGAACAGCGATGAAACCTGAGATCTTCTTCATGGAACCTGCCATGATCCGCATCAGATCTTCATGATCCCACCCCTCAGCCATCAAGAACAGGGAAACAACCACATGAAAACAAGTGCCACCCCAGTTCTCCCCTCAAACCCGGTGCCGCTTGGAAGGATTCTTGGCAACACCGGCCCAAGGGCGCCACGTGGAGGGTCTTCCCGCCGCTGGTGTTCGATCGCTCCCCAGGGAGGACTGGGACCTTGGGCCGCCGCGCGCACCGTGCGAGCAGCCGGGTGCGGTGGATGCACGGGTAGATAGCCGTGAGAGGCCATGTAAGAAAAAACACATGTTCTACCCCCATGTCAATGTGAATTCCTATAGTAGCGATGCCAGGCCTAGTAGCGTCTTGCTCCCAGTATTAAGGCCAGGAGCCCCGTTCGTAGCGAACCTTGCTTTTCAGAGATGTGTGGGTGGACGGGAAAGTTGGCAAAGTTGATTGTCTTGGCCGGAGCGGCTCTAAAGGTTCAGGTAGGTTACTAGGAACAAGTGCCACGCTAGTAGTAACAGGTGCCTTACTAGTAGTAACAAGAAGCTACTAGGAACAAGTGCCATGCTAGTAGT